TATCAGTGCCCATCTATATGTAACTGATACACACACAATTCAAATACTGTTCTTTTACAAACCCTAGCTCTTCTGTGTATCTGAAACCCTAGTAGCCTCGGACGCACCCCAATCCATCGACGACTCGGAAAAGTTATAAGTCAATAAATATATAATTTCTTCTAAATTAGGTATTTCTAAGATTCATTTCGAAAATTTTGTAAATAAACAATCATTTTCCATAATTTTTGAATTCCCATTTCCGATTTAATTGAAATTGTGTTAGTACTCAGAAACCGTTTCTGATATTTGGGTCTTTCATATTTCTAGAATTTACATCTGGGGCCCGGGATTTACGTGGAAATCCTGACTTACACTGGTTCTTTTTATCAAGGGTTCCTTCAATCTCAGTCAAGGAGTTGTGTTAGCGTTGGAAGATGGTGGGTGGGAACAGGAGAGAAGAGGGGTCGTTCACTGTGAGCAACACTAATGTATTTGCTGCGTTGGAGAGCCGGAGGAAGAAGAAGAAGTCTGACAAAGAGAAGATTGTGGGGAAGGCCAGTAAGAGTGCCTCCAAAGCTGGGAAATCGAAGGAACCTGAGGAGGAGAAGCCGCCGGTGTTCTGGGCTCCTGCACCACTCACAGCCAAGTCATGGGCTGATGTGGATGATGAGGACGATGATGATTACTATGCCACCACTGCCCCTCCCCAGTCTCTTTGGGTGGGTTCAGGTTCGAATAAACCCGAAGAGTCTCATAAACCAGAACCCTTGGAGGTATAAGAATAAATTAAGATAATATTGTATTGTTGTTTTCTAGTGATAACAGTGATATAAATAGTGTTTTGCTCTGTTAAAATTGAATGGGTCGTTTGTTTTTCTGGTTTGTATGGATATATCCTTGAAATATTTGTGTTGATTGCTGTTTATGTGACAGTCTCTTGAACGCTTAGTTTTTTCTATCTATTATCGAAGAATGCAATTTCGTTACTATTGATCGTAATTAGTGAATTATTCACACACTTTTATGATTCCAAAGTTTGTTTTGTCGATTTGTTGTTCCTCAGAAAATGTTGCCATCAAACAAATTTTAGATTTTTAATGATAAAAACCACCGTCGCATATTTAATGTCTTGGTTGAATTGACTTCAGGATGTTGGGAATATGAGGATATCTTGTATGTGTTTTTCTCACCTTTTTGCAGAATTTTCGGGTGAATTGTGTGCAATGCAGTTTATGGAAAAATTGAAAAAGTGGGTGGCGCGAAATTCCCCCCCCCCCCCCCCCCCCCCC